GTGTGCCGGCACCGCAAGGCGGAGGATTAGCCTAGTGAGCCGCGGCGCTGGCAGGAGGTACATTTGATCCATGTTAAGACCCACTGAAGTTAGAAAGGAGGAAGAGATGATGTAGGGGAAGGAAGGGAAAGATAATCCCTCTAAGCCCAGAGGTGAGGAGAGGAGAGAGAGAGAGAGAGAGGAAGAGAAGAAAGGAGTATGTCTTGTACTTATCAAGAAGAATAGAGCAGCAAGGATTGCATCTGAGTGTGTACCCTTTGTGGGTACAATCTATGCCCTACTGAGCTTAAACTTGATTTACAGATTGGCTGTGTTTTCCCAGTTACTGGGACTGGAAGTCCTCTAAGCATTTGTTTAGAGTTGTTTAGAGGGAGAAGAAGGCTTTTGAGAAGGATATTTAGGCCCAGTTCCGGGGGAGGGAGGGCAGGGAGAGAAAGAAAGAAATGGAGATGGAGAACACAGCCAGATGTCTTTCACCCAACAGGGCCCTGAAGGAGAAGACCAAAGACTGTTTATACAGAGGAGCTGCAAGCCAGAGCTGGAAGGATTGTTTTCTCTAGTTGTGGGCTTATGCGCTTAGGTGTGACTCAGCATGGGGCAGAGGGTCTTGCTTCTCCAGAGGCCAGCTTGGCTTTGGAAGGAACTGTGGCTCCTGAGAGCTAGCCTGGACTCAGGTGGTTAACACAAACATCCTGGAGAGATGTGGATATTAAGTATAAGCCAGTGCAACATGTGCTTTTGTACTTCTCATTTAAACTCACAGGCTCATGAGGCCTGCAGAGACATTTGAGGCACACATGTGATTCCACATGATTTTTAAAATAACGCTTTGAAGTAGACATTATTATCCAAGTTTTACAGATGACATAAGTGAGAAACCTTGGGGGTTGGGAGATAAGTGAATTACTTGAGTGGCCTCTAACGAGTAGTTGGACCCAGGATTGACCCTAATGGGCACCCCCTAGCCACATCTCCGACATGCCTCCTGAGCAGCGTGGTCCTCTTAAGACAGAAGTCAGGGAGAACAACCATATCCTCAGACTTTTTTGTCTTCCTGGGAGGAATGTTGGGCTATATGAATGATGTCCTTCCTAGGGGACATTGCTAGACTTCTTTCAAGAGATAACAAAGAAAAAGAGGAGATTCTCAAGATCCTTAAACCCAATTATAACTTCTACTAGAAATAAGTTTTAGCCAAACTATCAATTAAAGCAATTTTAAAAACCTTAAAATTTCACATTTTAGGTTTAGTGAACTAGAAAGTTTCATTTTTCTTTACAAGGGTATGGGACTATCTCAGAGGGTGAAAGGACTTCCAGAGTCCCAAGGAGAGTCAATACTAAATGACAGTAGTGGTGCTTGTTCTTGGAGCTGCAGGGAGTTTTGTTGTTTATAGAACCCTTCTTCTTGTATCAGTTTGTTTGAAAGTTCACGAAAGCTGGGCTCACAGAGTAGAATCTTCTATGTTCTTATTGCAGATGCTGAATGAGACCCAGAGAGCTTCCCTGACTTGCCCAGTACCCCATGAGTAGTAAGTGTATGAATTAGGCTAGAAATCTGATCTCCTGGCATCCATTTCAGGGTTCTTTCCCCTTTGCCAGGTGCTGTCCTGTGTGATGGTGGGCACCTGTCCTCCTCTAAAGGAAACTGACATCGTGGCTAAGCCAGCCAGAGGGTGAGAAATTAGAGTGCAGCTTGGAAAGAAGCAACATCCAAATGAAAGACATGACCTGGGCACAGTGCCAGCCAAAGTAGCACCCACTTCATTGAGATCCAGGCATTTTGTGGACATGCAGGGTGGTTCTATGAGAACTTCCAGAAGACTGACATGTGAAAACCTAGTTTTCTAGAAGAAATGGTTATGTGGTCAGTAATACTTACGATACCTTTCTTCTAAAGCAGTGATGCATATTAAGGGCACTATAAGATTTTGAAGCAAAGGAATGTGTTGACTGTTTTATTCAAGGTCTCCTAATTTATTTGAACACAAAATGTTTTTTCTTTTCTTTGTAAGGGAACACCTACTAGTTATCTATGGAGCTTCCAAGAACAACTAGTTTACTTTAATTAATGAATTAATGGGTTTATTTGACATCATGTGCACACAGCCTTAGGAGTTCTTTTTTTTTTAATTTTTTTTTAAATTTTTTGACAGGCAGAGTGGACAGTGAGAGAGAGAGATGAGAGAAAGGTCTTCCTTTGCCGTTGGTTCACCCTCCAATGGCTGCCGTGGCCGGTGCGCTGCGGCCGGCACACCGCGCTGATCCGAAGGTAGGAGCCAGGTACTTCTCCTGGTCTCCCATGGGGTGCAGGGCCCAAGCACTTGGGCCATCCTCCACTGCACTCCCTGGCCACAGCAGAGAGCTGGCCTGGAAGAGGGGCAACCGGGACAGAATCCGGCACCCTGACCGGGACCAGAACCTGGTGTGCCGGCACCACAAGGCGGAGGATTAGCCTATTGAGCAGCGGTGCTGGCCAGGAGTTTTTTTAAGGTATATATTCCAGACTCAAGACTCATGATATCTCTCTGTCTCTGTGTCTCATTTGTAAATAGCAACGTATTTATTTCCTATCCAAGGACTAACCATGCCCGACCCTGCTTAGCTTCTGAGATCAGAAGAGATTGGTTACGTTTAGGGTGGTATGGCCGTTGACAAGGCAATGTGTTTGTAAACAGGCCATAGTGCTAGTCATTTCAGTAGGCAAATACTCAGGATTACGTTGTGTTCATATAAGCATATTGAAGTTCATAAATTAAAAATGGAAGTTCATTAAAATACCAACAGGTCTTTTTATATTAGGTATTTTCACTGGTAATTCATGATAGAATAAGTTGTCAAGGAAGGCCAGGAGTCTGTTTTTGCACAATGGCATACATGGTTTGAGAAAATCTGTCCAGTGGATCTCCTTGAAATGAATAAGACTGGCATTTTATGCAGGACATTTATCACCTTTCTACCTATGGATTGTAGCAGACATTTGACGTTCATGATGGATATTTCCTGAGATCTTTAAGACTCTCCTAATTGGCAAAAACCACTAAAGCAATTAATTTCCCTCATGAAAACTTTTTATTCTGACCTAAACTGTCATGTTCATGGTGGGCTTCACTTTTTCTTTTCGTTCATTACCAGGACCATTTTGTACTTGGTAATGAACAATAAGAGGGACCGTGTAGTAAGAGGGATCATGTAGCTGTGGAAGGCGAGACTTTCAGACTGAGTGTGCCATAAATGGCAGTGTTGCTGGAGCATTTTATTTTATGTTTCAAGAAAATGGTGAATGCCTCCATTCCTTGGAAGGTTGTAATCGATTCGTTCATGAATAGCCAAAACTGGCTATCAGTCTGTGAATGTGTTTTATTTTATGTTTCAAGAAAATGGTGAATGCCTCCATTCCTTGGAAGGTTGGAATTGTTCATGAATAGCCAAAACTGGCTATCAGTCTGTGAATGTATTTTATTTTATGTTTCAAGAAAATGGTGAATGCCTCCATTCCTTGGAAGGTTGGAATCGTTCATGAATAGCCAAAACTGGCTATCAGTCTGTAAATGCCAAGCATCTCCTGTGCTCTGGGTTTCCAAGCTGTTTTTACCTTTACCCTCTATTAGGAGGCAGGAGAATTCTGTGGCTTGGAGAAGAAAGGGAATATTTTTAGTTTTGGAAGCTCCAGCTCTTTTTTAGTATTTCAACATTGCTATTACCCAGCTGGTTTGCGTTTGTTTGATATCCCAGCAATTTCAGGACATGGTTGCTGTGCTTTGGTGAAAAGTCTCAGTAAGCTCTTGGGTTAGGCTAAAAAATGGGTTTCCTTGAGCTAAGAAGATAGAATTACACTTGAAACTGTATCCTAACTTCCACAAATTACCCATCCCCAACTCTGTGCTTTCTAATATTAATCTCTAAGGCCACCTTTCCCGTGGTTCATCACTTTTACCTTTGGGACTCTAAAAGCGTTTTTCTTAGGATATATTATTATTATTAAAGTAAAAGGACAGGAAGTTTTTTTTTTTCATCACATTTGGATGGTCTCCTGAGATCAGTGACAGTGATATATATGGTTTGTTCAAGGCTAGTTTATCCCACACCAGTTAAGATAATCCGGAAAGAGGAGAAATGCCCAGAGTTCAGCCCAAGGGCATTCAAAATACCAGTCAGTTTAGACCATAAGGAAATATGAAAAATAGGTGAAAAACATAAGACTCTTCAAAAACTGATTGGCTGCCTTGCTTATGTGAAAAGCACATTGCTATTTGAACAGATGGTCTTTGGGGCTCTTCAGTTTGCATTAGGATGAATCATGTTGGGTAACAAAAGAGAATCCAGAGTACAGTCAGAAATGGGAATATAATAGACTTTGGCTCCTCTGGACTTCATTTTGGCCAGTTACTGTGGATGTGAGGACTTCTGAGTGAAAATGGCTGTTAAAGATACCTTGAAGTATATCAAGGAAGTGGATCCAGCTTACTCTTGGCAAAATCTACTTGAGCTTCCTAGTAAGGGCTTTCATACTCCATTGGACCGAAATTCCTCTAAACCTCCCAGAACCATGGATTCCATAGACCCTCTATACTAAAATATTTTCAACACAACTAGTTCCCCGGCACACAGAAAAAGCTCAATAAATGATATTGAAAGGCGCTAGTGACATGTTTCTCATGTAAGACTTAGGAAATTGCTACTAACTAATGGGAGCCATCACTGTAATGTCTCTGCCATTGGTTTAGAAGCTGAAGTTCTCTTTTGTTGGTCTAGGCTCAAGATCTGCTCATGGACTGATGATTGCGATTTCTCTCTTTCTCCTGGTGGGCTGGGGCTTGAGGTCAGAGGAGCTGGTGAGAAAGACTCTGAACAGCTCTGCAAGGGAGGCATTTCCCCAGCTAAAGGAACTCCATGTCCTCATAGTCACCTTGTGGGTGCATAAAATACACATGAACACAAAGCTACACCAGGAGCCCTGTACAGAAAGGCAGGATGGCCAGCAGGGATAGGGAAGCTTACCTTCTTGACTTCATATTTAATGGCGAGTTTGATCCGGCTCAGACTGGGACGGTGGTGGTCGGGCCAGACTTGAAAGTTCACATCACCATTTAAAATTGCTTCCACCTCTTCTGTGTCTCGGCACAGGTCCAGCACACCCACCACAAAATCCTTGCACTGCATAGATAACTTCCTGTAATCGTTCTAACAGAATAAAGAGAAATCAGGGGTGTGGCACAGTGAGCCCCATAGATTGGCTTGTCCAGTACAGCAGTGTCGATCAGCAACTGTTCACCAAGTGTGAGCTTATGGAGCACCCTGGAACAAAGGGGATGCTAGATCCAGAAGCAGGATAGTTTCTCCTAACGTACAACCTAGAGGACACCTTCCCTAAGTCAGCACTTGTCAAAGTGTGGTCCAGAGGCCACCTGTGTCACATTAGTTGCAGATTATCAGGCCCCACCCCAGACTTACTGAGTCAGAATTTCTGAGGACAGATCCAGGAATCTATCTTTTAACCTTGCTCTGAAAGTGATTCGAGTGGAGGCACACTGTACACTGTGCTCTTTCATGACAGCAGCTTTCTGTGTCCAATTCTGAGCCAGTACTGGGAGAAGAGTAATTAGGACATGAACTGAACTGAGGATGGTGGAAATAACACTCCCCTCCCAAGCACTAGCCTACAGTGGTGATGGCTCCCTATAGGAAGTTTGCTGAGATATATGGCTGCAGTGCTAACACTGGGGATGAAATGTACATGTTATGGGCTAACAACTTGTCTGTAAATTACGCATTTTAAAATCAAAGTAATTTAAATCTATCAGGATTTTTCTTACTGCATATCCATTTGTATGGCAAATCATGGCTCCTTAAATTACCTGCCTGTTGAATAAACATTTTTAGGTCTCGACATTTTTTTTTGTCATTGCTTCATTGGTTTTTAATGAGTTGCTCCTGGTTTTCCTTCCTCCTTCCCCTGGGTACACCTGTCTGAGTATCTTTGAGAGTCTGACTTCTGTTCCTAGTGACTTCACCACTTCTCTCTTCCCTAGCCAGGCTGCTTAGATTCCAGGTAATGATGCGAACTACTGGGCAAGAGAACATCTTATGTCACTCTAATCCCACTACTCCACATAATGTTTTCCCCTAGAGTCCTCCTTGTTGGTTTCTCAGTTGAAATGAGTCTATTCAGAAGCTACATAAGAGCCAAATGTCACTTTCGATGTTAATGACTGTCTACAACCCTCAGACTGGTAAATAGTGGTTGGCAAATAAGAGTGTAGTTTTGCTTTTCCAGAACCTGGATTCCTTAGTGAGTAAGGGGGAGCCTGGCGAGCTGAAGAAGCTTAGCCATTTTTCTGAGTTAATGATTTTTGTCTCCTTCCAGGGCTGTTGCATCAAAGTGTCACTTTGTGTTAGAGAAAGAAGTAAGTAAGTGATGGCTGGAAGAAGGAGAGGATCAAGAAAATGTTTTCGGGTAAAAATGGCTGTCCTTCATTTTGATATAGAATTTAGGCAGAAGAAGGATAGAAAATTAGATAGAAAAATGGCCGCTCAGCTCAGGCACATTATCTTGGAGAAAAATTAGGTAAAAACACTTGAAGCGTTTTAGATTTTGGTGCCAAACACAGAGCTGGGGAGCGACATGAAGAGATGTGCTGTGTGCTCCTCCATCCATAACATTCACACATATATCTATCCACTCATTTGTTGAGGATCTATTATGTACCACGCAATGAAAAATAAATCTGAACAAGGTAAATGTGGTCTGTGGGTGATGTGTGAGTTGAGGTGGCTGAGAACCCACCCTTAGGCCTGTGTAAAAGAAATGCTAGAGAAAGCTTGCTTAGACCTTGTCCTGGCTAAGATATCCTGCATCATCCTTATGAGCCAGAGGTGGGAGGCTCAAAGTACACCAGGATCAGCAAAATAGACAAGGTGAGTTTCCTCGCCACAGGATCCCTTTCAACCCTGGCAGTCGCTCTGCTACAGCTCAGGTTCTTTGAGTCTCTGATCCCCACCCTGGCAGCTTTATCATCCATTTCTTGAGAACAAGAAGTTTCCCTGAATGTTATTGCCTGTTCTTGGTAAGAAGGACACTATTGGTTAGATCAGAACTCACCTCCTGATGGAAACTTCTCTCTGGAGTCGCATACATGGATGGCTATAGGAAAGGAAGTAGAAAAGACTTCACCTAAGACTGGCCCAAAGTTCTCCCTGCCAGAAGCAAGTCCAACTGTACTGCCCAGAGCCTCTATGTATACCTAGGTTCAGCCCAGTTCAGAAAACAGAAATGTTCCACTTCATTGTAGAATGCCACTTCCTTGGACTCTTTTAGCCAGGATGCCATCAAAAGGGGATGCACTAGCACAGCCAAAGCAGGTGTATTGCTTTCTGCTTTCTTCACTAGACACTCAGACTGGAAGATGACTCCCACTTCTTGTATGTACCCCTGAAATCCCATCTCAAGCACTCCTTTGATTCCAACAGGCCTACAAACTATTGACCATATTTCCTTTTCACTGATTTTCACCCTCTTAGGTCACTGCCTTACATTTTGATGGTTTTTATTTTACAAGCAATCATTATAAATCTTGACTGTATATATCATCACCTCTCTTGAGCTCCTCTTATTTCATTGTCCTCATTGGTTAAAAGTCTGATCTTGGTTGGCTCTAAATTTCCACTACTCTGATCCTGCCTCTGCACTGTAAGTGTGGCTGAGAACACACAGCTGTAAACTAACTGCAACCTCAGGTGGTCTTCAGCGTTTAGGGCAATTTACTCTCCTCCTGTCCTAAACAAGCATTTTGTACTTTATGCCCTGCCTTCTGACATCTCCCTCACCCCCAACTCTCAGATGATACCTTGTTTCCTATTTTCTCAAGAAAAGAGAAGTCATCAGAAGAGAAATAGCACATGCTCACATCATCACATATATCCTTCTATATACATGTGTGTTAACATACTCAGTGTTCCCTCTTATTATGGGCAAACAACCCTGCTTCTCTCCAAGGTCAGTTCCTCTGCTTGGGTGTTGAAATCAACCTCTTATACCTACTCAAGGGCAGGGTTCCTGCAATCTTCCATTCTGTCTTCTGCTTTGTCAGTTTCTCCTTGTCCCTACTGGTTCAGCATATAAAAATGCTGTTATTTCTCTTGTCTTTTTTTTTTTTTTTTTTGACAGGCAGAGTTAGGGAGAGAGAGACAGAGAGAAAGGTCTTCCTTCCGTTGGTTCACTCCCCTAGTGGCCGCTACGGCTGGCGCTGCGCCGATCCGAGGCCAGGAGCCAGGTGCTTCCTCCTGATCTCCTATGTGGGTGCAGGGCCCAAGCACTTGGGCCATCCTCCACTGCCCTCCCGAGCCATAGCAGAGAGCTGGACTGGAAGAGGTGCAACTGGGACTAGTACCTGGTGCTCCAACTGGGACTAGAACCCCGGGGTGCCAGCGCCTCAGGTGGAGGATTAGCCAGTGAGCCATGGCACCGGCCATTTCTCTTGTCTTAAAAGTAATGTCTGTTGACCCTACTTCCTTCTCCAATTATACTCTGATTTTCTGTTTTATAGAACAACTTCTTAATCGAGTTGTCTACACTCATTGTCTCCAGTTGCCTTCTGTGCACTCTTTTTATTGTCCTGTTCAATAAGGGACACCCATGGACTCCACTGTGATGGCTCTTGTTAGGGTCACAAATGACTTTTCATGTTGCTAAATTCTATGGTTGTCTCTCAGTCCTCATTTTACATGACCTATCAAGTGCTTTGGCATAGTTGATCACTTCTTCCTCCTTGATACATATCCTTTCCTTGCTTTCCAACATAAAATACCCTTTGGTGATTTTTCTTCCTGAATAACCTGTTTGCAGTTTTTATTGATTCATTCCCATTTCTTTTATTTCTTAATTTTGGAATACCCCAAAGATGTGTCCATTCCTTGGAGTGCTACTATTTGTTTATACTCATTGTCTTCATGATCTTATTTTCTGTCATGTCTTTCAATATCTCCCATATGCTGATGAACCCAAAGTTTATATTCTTAATCCAGCCTTTGCCCTTGAATTCAAGACTCACTTGTATATCCAGTTGCCAACCTGTATCTATACTTAAATGTCTAATAGAGTTTCAGTTTTCACCCAACCAGCTCTGGATCTAGTTTTTTTCCACATAAATTAGTCTTCTCTTTCAGTTGCAGTAGTCACTCCCAGATTTATCTTTGATTTTTATCTTATTTCAAAACCCACAAATAATTTGGTAGCAAATCCTGCCATCTGTACCTACGAACATATTCACACTCTGATCTCTTTTTCACCAATTACTTTATTTCAATTGTCATCCTAGCTGGTCTTCCTATTGTCTATTGTAGTCTGTTCTCAGAGATATACTTCACAGAAGTGGTCAGATCATGTGTCACTCTACTCAAAACCTCCGGTGGCTCCCCAATCTGAAGTAAAAGTGCTGTCCTAAATCTCCAGCCATCCCATTCTCTTTCTCATTTTGTTCCCCCCTCCTCACTCAATCTGCTCTAGCCACTGTGGCGCCCCTGCTTGGACTAGGTCTTTGCACTGGCTGCTCTGTTTGCTTGGAATGCTGTTTCTCTGGATGTGTACATGAACACCTTCTTACCTCCTTTAGGTCTTTGCTCAGATGTTACTCAATTCAGCCTTCCTAATCATCCTTCCCTACCTTTTGTTTTGCTCATAGTACTATGATCATCTGATATACTACATGTTTAACTAATTGATTATATTTATGCCCATGTCCCCAAGTAGAATGTAAGCTTGTTGAAGGCAGGATGATTTTTCTTTTTTACTCAGAGATGTCTATCCTAAGGTCTTGGAACATTTCATGAATGGGGACATTCCTAAAACATGACATGAATTCAATAGATGGTTGTTGAATGAATCAGAGCAGTGGACTTCCCTAATATGGCTACTGAATGGCAGAGCCAAGATTCAAAACAGATTGGTCTGACATGTCTCCCACTTAGCAAATGCTACAAACTAGAGGCCCAATTGGAGCTGACTCTCAACTAATGTCAGGAAGGATAAGGGGTAGATAGGCATATGGATGTTTGAATCCCCAAAAAATTGCACAGATAGGTGAGCACACAGGTTTTGAAGTGTGATGGACCTGAAGTGTGAGTACCTATTGCCAGTAAAACTGGCAAATTGTGCAAATCTGCACTCTTCTGTATCTCGGTTTTCC